GACCCGATTAGTTTCACCCTTGATGTGCTCAGTGGTGAAACTAAACTCGGATAGGTCGCGCCACCAGCGAGCCTGTCGAGGAGTGAGCTTCGATTTTGTCAGAAAAGCCTGGACAACAGAGTTGACTGTACGCACCATGAACGGTGCCCCGTGCAGGTAGTGACGTCAGTGCCGAGCGGCATAAATTACTGCGAGAAGCTCACGTTCATCAGCGGTGTAGTTTATCTCGGCGGGCAGGAGCTGACGGGAGTAGAAGGCTATCGGACAATCACCGGAGCGAGACTCGACAGTGTCGTCCTCGGCGATGGTAGGAGAATAGTCAATAGAAGGCTCGTCAGTAGCTGGAGGAGTAGGCGTCAGTCGGGAAGTAGTGGTAGGGGTAGGTGGTGGGAAGCAAGGGATACGAGGATGAGAAGAATCATGTGAGGAGGGGAAGACATGAGAAAGCACTGCTCCTACAGCGAAGTCTGACGCATCGGTGGTAAGGATAAAAGGGCGGTCAAAATCGGGTAGGTGAAGAACCGGTGCGCATGTCACCGCCTTCTTGAGGTCGCGGAAGGCGTCCTCGTGGAGGGGTGTCCAAGCCCAGGGTGGGTTCTTCCGGAGGAGGGTGGAGGTAAGGACGTAGGAATACCTAGCGTATCCCCGGATGAAGTTACTATAGTAGCTGGTCAAGCCTAGGAAGCTGCGAAGCTGCTCGGCGGATGTGGGGGCGGGCCACTCCGCAATAGCAGTGATCTTCGCGTCGTCCATGTGGAGACCATGGTCAGACACGTAGTGTCCTAAGAAATCCACTTTGTGCTGGGCAAAGCGGCACTTGCTTAGCCTGGCGTAGAAGCTATGTCTACGCAAGCGGTCAAGGACGTCGCGGAGGTGTCTGAGGTGCTCCTCAAGGGTACGACTCTAGACCAGGATATCGTCGAGGTTGACGAGAACGTACTGCTCCAGGATATCCCTGAAGATGTCGTTCATCGCCCTCTGGAAGGTAGCGGGTGCGTTGGTGAGGCCGAATGGCATCACCGTGAACTCGTAGTGGCCGAATCGCGATCGGAACGCGGTCTTCGGCTGGTCGGCTGCAGCGACATGGATTTGATGGTAACCGCTACGAAGATCAATCTTCGTAAAGAAGCAGTTGCCTGCTAGGCGGTCGAACAGCTCATCGGAACGAGGCATGGGGTAGCTGTTCTTAACCGTGTAGCGGTTGAGACCGCGATAGTCGATGCAGAGACGGAGAGTTCCATCCGCTTTGCGAGCAAAGAGGACGGGTGCACCCCACGGGGAGTTGCTGGGTTTAATGAAACCCAGTCTCAGGAGCTCCTCAAGCTGACGCTTGAGTTCGGTGGCCTCGGGAATCGAGAGTCTGTAGGGTGCCTGGTGGTGAACACGATAGTCAGGCACAAGCTGAATGGAGTGCTCGACGTCATGCATCGGTGGGATGTCGGCGTACGAGAACGACGATGGGAAAACGTCGTGGTACTCTCGGATGAGGTCGCGGACTGCGTGCTCCAGGTCAGCCGTATATCGTGCGAGTTCCTCAGCGTCAGCGTCAACGCCCGACGGCGGGGTGGACTCGACGGACGGCGGAGGGACGGAAGTAGAGATGGGAGTCATGGAGATAGAGGGAGGATCTGACTCCAGAGGGATGACCTCGGCGTCGGGACAGGGTGGATCATAGTGTAAGAGATCCGTCACGTCCACCATAAAGAAGGTGACGTCGTCCTGTCGAATGAAGTGAGCGAACTGCCGAGGCGAGGTGACGGTGATCGAGGGGGATGGTGTGGGCACAGACGGCTCCGGGGGAGGAGGATCGGGGCGTGGTATCGCCGTGGTACCTATGAAAGGTACGTGATACGTCTGTCCACACTTTGTTTTGAGAACGAGAGTGTTGGTCGCCCAATCGGCCTCGGTGCTGCGGAACTGACGAGACCACGGAGTGCCGAGAATGAAGTCGTACCCCGTCTCCATCACATTGAAATGTGCAGAGGAGCGGTGGCGACGAGACGCCGAGGAACGATCAGTCGGCTCGAGAGTGAGGAAGAAGGAGAGGTTAATGACCGTCTGATCGAAGAAGCGCTGGGTCTTGTCATCCCCTAGGGTAACGGAGATGGGAGTCGGAGACCATGTCGTGGGTAAGCGGGCTTCCTTCACCACGCGTGGGTGAATGAAGTCGCCCTGAGAACCGGAATCCCACAGCGYKGAGTACACCCTCSTGGAGGTCCCGAGTCGTATKGGGATGATCRGGAGGGTGCRATCAGGGTYAGAGAGGATGGCGAGAAGGCGACGCAGTGCAGYGACATKGAGGGTAAGTCGCTCCTGACGAGCCTGGAGCATGCTCAAGTCCAGAAGAGAGGACACAACGTCCTCGCGAGTAGCAAGCTGCTCGCTGCAACGGGCTGAGCGAATGGCTCGACGCGTCGGTAGTCGCGGCGGGGAAGGAGGGGAGACGGTGGTCTGTGGAGGCGCAGACGATACTGCGACAGAGGGCTGAGTACACTCTGTCGAGTCCTGCGATACCTCAACACCAGTAGCGAGAGGGGTGAACTGCGACGGAGATGTCGGGAAGCCCACTACTGAGGAGGGCGCAGGTGTACACTGCACCATGGCTAGGAGGTGCCGTGGGGACGTGAGGCGCCGGGGGGGGACTGAGCACGACGCTGACGAGAAAGATCAGCGTAGTGGCGGTCGAGGGCGGTAGTGTAAGGGCACCGCGAGGAGGTATGACCGTCCAAGCGGCAGTGTAAATACCCACGTCGGCCCAGAATAGCCGCGTGCTCCTCAGTGGAAAGGACACCGCGAAGAGGGACGAAGCCCTGAGGGAGGTCCTCCTGAGGGACCTCGGAGGGCGACGCGCCAGCGTGACCGGGGCGGCTGCGTGCCCGAGAGAGGGCGGAGAACGCGAGCTGAAGGCGCTCAGCTGCAGGGAGGGTCGGGTCCTCCAAGTGATAGTGGACGGCCTCGCAGAGATCGAGGTCGTCGCTGTGGTCGCCCTCAGGTGACAGTGAGGCAACAACGTCCTGCTCACCGTACTCCAACGAGGTGAACAGTGCGAACCACTTGCCTTATGGTTTGCTCCAGTCTTTTCCTATCGATGAGGGTCGTTGGCAGTCCATCTCGATGGACTTTATCGATCCTCTTCGTCCTCCGACCCCTCGTGGTCATGATACTATCCTGGTCGTCGTCGACCGCTTCACGAAGCGTGCACGCTTTGTTCCGTGCTGCTATACTATCAGTGCACGTGAGGTCACCGACATCGTGTTCGACCGAGTCGTGCGTGACCACGGCTTACCTCTGAGCATCATATCTGACCGTGACCCGCGCTTTACCAGCCGATTCTGGCGATGGCTCCACGAGGTGTACAATACTCAGCCCCGCTTCTCCTCGTCTTACCATCCTCAGACTGATGGTCAGACCAAGATCACGAGCAGGACTCTCGGAGATATTCTTCAAAAGATTGTTCGTGACGACCAACAGTGGGATCTTCATCTTGCCCACGCGGAGATGGTTTACGACCACGCCGTCTCGCCTGCCACGGGGATGTCACCTTACTATTGCGACCTCGGCTATCACCCTCGTGTTCCCGCGGACTTTCTTCGACCGTCCCAGATGCACCCTGACACGAGTTGTCCCGCGCTGGATGATTGGGTTGCACACATGACGTCGATTATGAAGACCGCACATGAGCACATAGCCGCTTCCCAGACTCGCATGGCAGCACGTGCGAACCGATCGAGAATGAATCATCCATCTAAAGCCGGTGATGATGTGCTTATTGACGCCCGCCACTTACAGCTCGAAGCGGACACGCTTCGCAAGTTTCGGCGTCGCTTCTTTGGCCCATGCCGCATCCTACACGCCGTCGGTTCTGATACGGCATCTAGCCCGGTCAGCTTTCGTGTGAAGCTGCCCGACTACCTACGCCAGGCTCGTGTGCATGATGTCTACCACGTCTCATTACTGCATCCTTATCGCAGACCGTCTGAGTGTTTCGCTGGACGACCATACGAGCGCCCTCCACCCACAATGGTGGACGGTCACGAGGAGTTCCTCGTTTCAGACATCATTGGTCGCCGAGTCACCGACGACAACCCTCCCCACGTCGAGTATCTCGTACGTTGGAAGGGTTGCCTAGATGAGGAGGCTACCTGGGAGCCCCTCGAGCACTTGCAGCACGCTCGCATGTTGGTGCGTGCCTATGACATTGCTCGTCGTGCTGGGTTCACTGCTCCTCCTCAGCCCACTGATCCTCCTCCTTCTCCTCCGGCTGAGGAGACTGCTGAAGTCGAGCCTGCTCCATCTAAGGCAGACCTTCAGCAGCAGCCGGATGCTTCTGAGCGTCCACAACACAATCGTCGTCGTACTGCTCGATACGGCAATTGACTCTGACTTACCTTCCCACGTCTTCAATTTCTCAGTACTCCATCCACATCAGTTTTGCTACTTCAGCTCGTCGACGTTGCGGCTCTTCCTCGACGACATTCCGGACTTCTCATCGTGGACGTCATCGGCAGCTTCATGGACTTCATCACGATCAGCTCTGCCTACTTCAGACGTCGCCACTCTCTTACCACTCTACCCTGTACAGTACCCTGCTTGTGTCGCATGATGGTCTCCCTTTAGCCGGGTTCCTCTGAGTTGGGCTCTCCCTTGGTATACGCATAGGCATCGGGACCGTAGCGTTGCCCTGGCTTCCCATCTTACGAATCTAGCTCCGACTTCCCTCACTTTAGGAGTCATTTGCATGATTCCCTCACCCATCATCTTTCTACCCTTCGACGGCCCTCACACCCTAGTTAGGCAGCCCCGCATGCTTCATCTAGGTGCGCCCAGTATACCAGGCTCCCCTGTTCCTTTGCATGGTCGACCCTCCATAGTGGTCACCCCTTAGTCGAGCATTACCCGCCCTGATGGTCTATCTGTTAGGGTCATTGGTTCTGTTCGCTGTCAGTTCCCTACCCTCATTGAGCCTGATGACATGTGTCTCCCTGTTATCTATGTGTGGATGCCCTTAGGAGTTTTCGACCCCTAGGCTGCATTCGCCACCCTCAGAGATCATCCCACCCTTTGGTTTGCGACACACTTCTCATGTGACATATGATAGACTTGTTGTTGCTTTGTTGCTCGCAGACTGAGGATACTGCCTCTGACATCTCTAGGATTTAGTTGTTCTGCTTTTGCTGTTCTTAGGACTTATACACTAGTCAGTTGTTACCAGACTGAGGCTAGTGCCTCCAACATTCTAGGATCTAGTTGTCACTACTTTCTGCTTTCCTAGGATATGTATGCTAGTTAGTTGCTTTTGCTTTCCTAGGACATGTATGCCAGTTAGTTGTTTTTGTTTTCTTATGACATGTATGTTAGTTAGTTGCTTCTGCTTTCACTTAGGCTGTTAGCTGTGACATTGTTGTTTTGTGACATTTTATATCCTAGGTTGCATCGCATGGACTCGACATGGAGCTTGCTCCGCATCCTAGACTACTCAGGTTTTCTTTTCTTTGGTAGAGTTCTGCTTCTTGGCGGATCATGTTTGTATCTAGGCGATCCATCACAGGCCAAGGATCGTGTAGCGGACCTCGGGTTGACCTGTGAGACCAGCCCCTTGGCCTGTTCTCACAGGCCTCTGTTGTATTCGGGGTAGGCCAGCCCAGGCTGGTACCTCTGTCAGTACCAGCCAATCCAGTCCAGTCCCGTCAGTCCGCTGGGGTATACCCCATCCATTGTATGTTTTCACGCTCATTCTTCACTTGCACATTTTGGAGTACTTTGCGTTGGAGTCTTGCGTGGGGAGCTGCGTTGTGCCATCTCGCTCCCCCCCTTCTTCCTCCATCTCCATCTCTGTCACTAGCGGAGCACCACACCTGGTGGGTCCACTACAGGTAGGTAGGTACCGTACCAAGTCGCAATGTGCGTCGTGGATCTACCCGACACAGCATTAACTCAATCAACCCCTCGATCCTTTCGGTCAGAGGGTATTACCATTAATCCTAACCATCACAGCGCGCGTCATTACAACGCGCGCGCATATTTTCGAAATTTTCTCACCGATTCGCCCAGGCCTCAAAGGCCGAGGAAATCGTTTCAAGTGTAACGCCAAAGCGTGCACACCCTTTTCATCCCAGACTGGCTCCGTCGTGGTAGCTGATGCCTTCACCGTGTCGAATGTAAAAGCGTGGCCAAATACCCTTGTAATGGTATTTGGTCCGACAACGGTCCGGTACATCCAGATCCGGCCGTAAATGTGGTCAGATACATTCAAGGTAAAGATAATGAGTGTACGCCATAGGGGGTCGCTTAGAGCGATCTAAGGGAGAGGGTGTATCAAATTAGATCAATCAAATACTGATCGGAAAATGTTTTAAAAAAAGTCAAAAAAAATCATTCGAGACCCCTCCCTGCTCCTGCAACAGAGCGAGATCTGCCATTCAATCAAGCACCCAATAATCGTCGATTAATCGAGGTAGAGAAAGGGGAGGGGGTGGGCGGCGGGGGGGCTGATGACTGCTAATTCTTATGTGTCACACGGCCTGATAGCTTAGCTGGGGTCTTATGCCCCCCGCCTTCTCCTTCGTCTCGTTTGCCTCGCCATCGCCAAGCTTGCCAGTCTCCCTGCCTCTCTCTCTCTCTCTCTCTCTCTCTCTCTCTCTCTCTCTCTCTCTCT